CAAATAGGTGCCTTTTAGCTGGGGTGTCTGTATGAGTGACGCTCTTGTTTTTCTCCAAGCCTTGCAGTGTGCTCCGGCCTTTTTAAACCCATCAAATCACTCCTCTCCGGGTGGTTTTTATTGCTTTTATAATAAAATCAGCGATATTAAGAGAAAAAAACAGGTGGTTGCCGTAAAAGATTTTATCGTCACCGGCCGCGATTAAGCCACCCCTCCACATCCGCGGACATCATTTCTGGCGCGGATGTCTACCCCCCCTTTTTAGAAGAGATGTACAGTCGAATTAGTGAATCGTTAGTGAACACCTCGATAGTGAACGGATTTTTTAGGATCCCTCTGAGTTGATTTAGTACTAATCAAACCTTGATAGTGAACAAATCTCGATAGGATCCCTTCTCGATAAGATTTTAATTTTATCAATGTCTAATTAGCTTTATGTAACTACATTATCTTTCAAATTATTATTACTGTACCCGAAACGATCTTTGCTAGATTAACTATATCCATTCCAAATCTTATCAATCTCTATTTCAGGGCCTTCATTTTCTTCTTCCTATTCACCAGTTTTGTTCTCTCTTGGATAATTCTCACCGTTCACATCAACCGTTTTTCGACAATATCATAAGTTGAAGAAATAATATAGCTAAAAATCTATTATCTAAGCATTTATCCATAAATTTCAGAGACTCGAACCTAGGATGTGGAAAGAAATCGCCAATTTACCCCGAAATTCTCACTCAACGCTATAAAAGCTTTTATGTGGAGATTTTCGTCTACGATTGCATGGAGTCAATCAATTCTTGGCTTTCAATGCAGCTGTTGGTTTAATCATTATCAAAACGTAAGCTCGGTTTGTTTTAGCTTGGTTTAATCCTGGAGTTTACCTGTTGGCTGACTTCTGTTCTGACCCTTGTCGGAATGAAAGATAAAATGGCTCGTTTCTTTTCCGTTCATTTCGGTAGTTTTAGTCGAGTTTCCATCAATGACTTTTTTAAGATGGAAATCTAGATTTTCGCTAGAACCGCATTTCTTATCGTTTTTCCAAGAGTTAGCATGGGATCGCATTTGGAGATTCTGATTGTCACCGCAGTTCATCTTGGAGTCAGCGTTGGTTTTCGATAATGATTCAAATAAGAACTGGTAGCTAAGTTTCTTGATTTCCCGTATAAGACTAAACTAATGAGATCAGGTAATGAAATCAAGCTTAAGCCTTCTTACAAAAGCTTGACTGACTTGACTGCTAGTTTAAAATGACTAAAGAATTCAAGCTAAAGATGATGTGGAGGCTCTGCAATGATCTCATGTACACAACACTAACATTCAACTAACAACTAGCCCGTTACCGCATCTTGACTTAAAGAAGGGGTCTGAATTAGTCGTCACGATTCTCAAGTTCTCAAGATGGCTCAAGTTTAGTTGAAAACAGTAACAGGCTAGGGGATTGCCTTCTATTTTTCTTCATTCATCGAATTTCCATTTCCAGCTCATTGTCTGCACTTATCTCTCAATTTCCACCATCTGGAAGCGAAAAAATCAAAGAAAACTAAAGCTAAATAGCGACGGATTAACATCGCTGTGTTGAGATTTCCAACAGAATAAAACCTTTACTAAAAGCTATTTTTTTTTTGATTGTACAAATCTACATAGAATTGTTGAGATGAATGTTATTCACAAGAAGCTTTGAACGGGAGATATCTGAATCATTCTAAAAACACCCTTTGAATAGACTGATTCATGGGGAAAAGAGGGGAAAGACTCTCCCTCAATTTGATTGACTACATTTTCATCCCTGTTATGGTTATCGCTCGAAAACCTTTTGAAAATCGGCAAATGAGGCGACTATCGGTGAGATTTCTTACCGTAAATACTGTAATAGTACCCCACCCCCCACGTACAGTCGCGTAGTAATAAAGTTTTTTAGTATTTCATTTTTGCCAAGCACCTGTACTTTTCCCCCATCCGTCTTTTGGTATCGAAAAATAGCCCTGAATTTCAGCTATTTTTAGCTCATGTAATGATTTAACATAAAAAGCAGTGTCGAGAAAAGGCTCAGTTCCCATTTGGACTACGCACCGTATCCACACCGTCATTATCTTTGGCATCAAAAAAGCGTCTTTGGTATCCAAAAAAAAATGGCCTGAATTTCATGCTATTTTTGATACCTAACACATTTATAACATAAACCAGGGTCGAGAAAAACTCGTTCAAAGCTAGACTACGCAACCACTCCTGCCCGTCATTATGGTGGTGGGGTACTATTACAGTATTTTACGGTCCTCTAACAAGATCATTTTCAAGTTTTCAAATCACATCAAGATTTTTGACCAAGTTCTTGAGCCAACAAAATACACCCCAGAACATTTAGAGCATGAATTTCATTTATAGCTTTAAGCCAGTGATTTATCAGTAAAATTTCCTCTATTTTTCAGCTTTAGGTCATTCTATTGTTTGTCAGTTTACTGTTATTAATCCTCGAAACTTTCCTGCTCATCAATTTGATCATCTATGCAGTCAAGTAAGCTAAAAAGAGTTCTTTTTCTGATCTTTAACTTTTCAGACTTGAGTATAAAGCTTTATTGATCATTGCTGGATCATTGGTTTTGTTTTGTTTGATATTTACGGTGGTTCTAATCCTCTCATCTGTCTTTAGCATCGGAAAGATTCAATTGCAATTATTGTTTGGAACGGTGGGTTTTGAAACAAAGAAATAGAGAGTAAAGTTCTGGCCTTGAAATAAAGCAAAATATTGTTTCTAGTTTCAGAATAGTTTTAACTAAAAGATTGCTTTAGAATTGATTTAAGATTGATCTTTAAAATTCTCGAATTGGTAAAAAGTATTATAGAATACTATAGAATACTATAGAAAGTACTATAGAATATCTGCAATTTTGATCTATGCTTTACCTCGACTTTGCACTACTTTTTTTGTTAGCTATGATTTAAAAATATTAATTTCAGGCTTTTGTGGTGATCTTGCACCTCGCAATTCTGGCTCTAATTATCTCTTGGGGTATCAAGAGTGATCAAGAGTTTCGAGGACGAGTTGATCGTTGGAATAATTCGACTAACTCGATGATCGAGAATACAACGATAAGCACAACAACCACTTCAACCACTTCAACTCCAGCAACAACGACGAATATCCTATTAAATGACACAAATGGCATGATTGATCATAAGGTAACAAACTCTTTTGATGATATACCTAAAAGTATATTGAAATAGGTTGTAGATAAGTTCCCTAGTTGTGTACAGAAATCAAAATTATAACATTTGAGAAACAGCCGACCGTAGCCGACCGAATAGGAGTCTTGTCTCCTAGTCCGGGGGTTAAGGGTTCAATCCCGGTGGCTAGAAAGATTGGTTCTTTTTCCCGTTATTATGGATTTTTTCCTTTGATCTGGAGTGGCTACAATTGTTACTCAAACTTAGTCCTGTACTGGCCCAGTACTTGGCCCAGTCAGAGCAGAGCCTGATTTCCAGGCTATTCCCAGACCTTCAGGCTATCCTAGGCTTCCAGGTAGTCCTTAGGTTTCCAGGCTATCCTTAGGCTTCTAGGCTATCCTTAGGTTCCTAGGCTATCCTTAGGTTTCCAGGCTATCCTTAGGTTCCTAGGCTATCCTTAGGTTTCTAGACTATCCTTCCTAGGGTTCAATTCCGGCGGCTAGAAAGATTGGCTCTTTTTCTCGTTATTATAGGTTTTTTCTTAACAACACTTCGGCAATAGGGGTAATTAGGGGCAAAAATTTCCTCCGTTGTATTGTAATTCATTATTCGTGTCGAATAATATACTTAATTTGTATCTATATCTAGGTGAAACTCGTTTTGATGAGTTGACGATTGACTTTGGAAAACTAAAGTTTATCATACTATAGTTTAGCACTCCACGGTGAATCTCTGAATCACGATAAGTATTCCTATTGCATTGTACCCTAGAATGTGATAGAATATTTTAATTTACAAGCTCTTAAAAGTTAAACTAAAATCCTATTATGTTCTAAAATCCTTGAGCACCCAGCGGAAGAGATTTTGAGGACCAGTTTGTATTCAGTATTCAGTATTCAATAGATATTCATTTACTTTATACAAATCTTTTAGATCCCTTTCTACTTTTTTGGAGACCGATTTGGGCATCTACGATCAAGCGGAAGGCATTTTAATGGCCGACATCTACGTTTGGGAGATCCCGGTTTCAGTACAACAACTCGGAAAAGTCAACTCAACAATCCCATCAACTTTCCCATTCTCCATTGAATCCACCTATCGTTCTCTTATCCCATTACTCATTGTCTTCTCCTCATCATCTCTAATCTTTTCCCTGATTCGCTTTTTCATCTCTTTCTTCATCATTCATTGCCTATCGTCGCCCAATTCATCTCATTGCAAGTGATCGAATCACTGTAACTCCAATCAGTCATATTGTCATTCAGAAATAAGATTTATTAAATACAATCTATTTATTGAACACTTTTTGATATAAGCTCATGAATAAAGAAATCTGTTAACATCATGTGTTTCCGGCTAAAACTGGAGAATTTCAAGTTATCTTGCAAATATTTACCTGAATATTCTTTCAAACAAAGGCCGAACTCGGTCCCAATCTTTAAGAAGATCTTGTGAGATATGAGCATCTGAGTGTTCAGAGAGGTTTAACTGAAAAAAAGAGAGCTTTTAATAATAGATAGATAATAGATTTTCTACCACATTTCAAAAGTTATTCGTGGATTTAGACATTTCAATTTAAAACATCGACTTTAAGTACGATTCAGCTATCATAAATCATGAATAACGCACTTGTTTGACTTTAGAATGCTGTTGTTCATGGACTGCATTCGGTTGTTTGTTCTTTGTGTGCGCACACAAAGAACACCTCGCCAGTCATGAATGAACATTCGGTTTTGATTTAACATCAAGCAAAGCAGTTAGTGATATTTAGGCTTTGCTAGTTGAGGTTTGAAGATTTTTTTAAACGGTGAAGGCCCACTTTATGTAACTCATCTGGTGATGGCCAAAATGCTCGATCAATTCGCTTTTTCACCACCACTTCGTGACCGCTTCTTGGAGATTCTCCTCTAGAATTAGCAATGGTCAATAAATTTCAACAATTAGAAACATCTGTACCTTTCTAAGAACTCCTTTATCTTATAGGAAATCAAAATCTGATCGAAAAGCCATTGAGGTTGCAATTGAGCAAGGATTCCTTTCCGATAGTCTGTAATAATCTTTTAGTATTTAAGCTAGACTTTTTCTAAACTAACCTTCATTCATAAAAGCCTCTTCACCAAAAATTGAGTACAAATATTTCTCCATTTTGCTAGGATCATTGTACACTTTTTCAGAATAAGCTAAAACTTTTTAGATTTTAGAAAAAGTTTTTAAACTTACGCAAAACTTTTCCCCAGATTGATCTCTTCATAGCAATTGTTGAGATTGGGTACATTTTAAGGGAAATTTCTTTAAATTCGACTGATTGGCAACAGTTTGAGTTGTAAAAGAATAGCTGGAAATGAGTGAAACGATTTGATTGGTTTAGAATGAAAAGTACTTGATTATTTACAAAAATACAGTTAGAATATGGCCAGAAGCCAGGTTAGAAGCTTTGAAAGAACTTTAAGATATTCAAGGAACAATAAAGTAAAGTTAGAGTTGTAAAAGAATAGCTGAACCTTAAGATCTTCAAGTAACAAAGAAAAGTCTAAATCTAAAGTTAGACTTAAAATTTATTACTCAACATGTCTTTAAAGTTTTTAACTTTTACCTCAAATCCCTCACGCCAATGATTCTCGAGATGAAATGGAATATAATCGATATCACTTGTGATCACTATTGAATCATCATGAAGATTCAACGATTCCGAGGTGGCTGCAAATACTCTACACATCTAAACTTAAAATAAACTAACTTAAAGAGCTTTTCCTTACTTGAGCAATTGTAGTTGAAGGTAATGTGAAATCCTTTATCAAAGTTATTGTAACATTTTTCGTTAAGACATGCTCAAGTACTGTTTTCACATTCTTTAAGAAATTCTCGTCTTTCCCGACCAAGCATAGTAGACCTAGGAAAGTTAATTTATGTGAAAAGCCATTAAGCAATGATAGTATTGTAGAAAACGGGTACTATTCAACTATACAATCAAAATTAGAATCATTTTAAACAAACTTTCAACTCCAAGTTGTCTCCAAGCTAAAACGCTTAATGGTATTAATGAAAGATATTGAAGATCGAGAGTGGAGGAGAGGGAAACGAAGATTTTCTTTTCTCGAAGTAAAGCTGAAAATGAATAACTCAATATTAGTTTAATTGGCTCAGTTAAAGACTTTTGAATAAGTAGACAAGCTTTGAAGGTTCATAACTGGCTTATAACTAGTGATCATTGTTCATTTTTTATATATTTTTAACGTGAACACTTCGGGCTTTCGAATGATATCAAATAGAGATTGATTGAACTAACCAATCCTGAGGACTGGACTAAATAGAGATTGATTGGACCAATCCTGAGAGAATCAAGACAACTCGGATTGCACTGTTTTCTCGGTTCGATTGCTGTTTTTAGCGGAGTGGTCTAGCGGATTCAAAGTCTCTAGAATAATAAAAACAAACAATTTGGGTTTAAAGCTTTCCCGGTTTGACATAGTGACGCCGAAGAACCGGAAAGCTAGCGAATTCTTCCCCTTTTGGATGTCGAAAAGATGCCGAAATGGAAGCCTCTTATACCGAAGGAGTTTGCCAGATTGCGAGCGATTGTGTACACAAAGAACACCTCGCCAGTCATTTACACAGGAATCCTCTTTTGCTTTATAAATGATATAAAAAGAAGAAATTGGATTTTAAATTTGCACTCGGGGATTTTAGGATTTGGGAAATCGATTGAAGCTATTCATTTTATTGAGCCTAGAACACGGTGATTCAACAATATATAATTCTTAATATATGATTCTTTTGTTCTGAGTCTTACCGGGATATTCTGATGAAATGACTTGTCTTGAAAAAGCAAAATAATCAAATCTAAACTTTATAATTAATAGCTCAAGTGGTTTTTTTCAATTACTTCAAATTTTGAGTAGCTAGAAGGAAAATGAAAGCACTGATTGAAATAGAAAATACCCAGAAAAGTTTTGCAGGAAAATTCATCGATATCATAGGAATTATATGTGAAGAGACATTGTGATGTGTGAGGTGTTCGTTTTCCTGCAATTGGCTTCAAAAAAAACCTGCAGATGAGCAAACGGGACAAGCCGGAAAGAAGTGGGTTGGTAGTGAACTCTGATAAAAGGTTTTGATTTTGATTTGGTTTGATTTTCGTAGATCTACGTAGTTAGTGATCTAAAGAATGAAAGATTGAGTTTAGATAGCCTTAATATTCTATGCTCAAAGTTTCTAGAGCTTCTTTAACTAAATTCTAGACTATTCCAGAGTCATTCAAGCTCCAGTTTATAGAACTAGCAATTCTTTGATGAAAATCCAGGCTAAACCAAAAGCAAGCCATAAAGCTAGATATATCTTTTCTTCAATTCCATTTTAAAGTCAATCTTCATTTGTAAAATTTAGATAATCTTTAGATCTTTAGATTTAGTTTGTTTAAAAGCTGGTTTTTCTTAATCCATAAGGACTTTAGAAATATTCAAACTATTGGGTTGGTGAATTGAAAACTGTGGGCTATTGTCATATGTGACAGTTTGAGCACTTTCTTCAAAAGAAACCCATTTTGGTGTCAATGGAAAAGTTGTAGAGAATCAAAAATCAAGCTTATATCCAAATTTTCAGAACGATTCAAAAACTGGTTTTCAAGAAATGCGAAATTTACGAACTTTCACGAAACTTGCATTTTAAGCGAAACTACTAAGTGTATCTTTTTGGAAATTTGGCTATAAGCCTAATTTTTGATTCTCTACAACTTTTCTATTGACATCAAAATGAGTTTCTTTTGAAGAAAGTCCTCAAACTGGGACATCGCCAGATCTCCAGTCCTCCATTTTTGAGTCTCACACTTGTCTCACACAAAAACCAAAATCCTACTACGAAAGAGGAATCCGCAAATTGCCTGTAAAATGGGCAGAAGTCGTCAATAATAATAAAAATTATTTAGAATGAATTCATGGTTTTATGTTGAATAAATTTTAGTTTAAAGTCCGGCTGTTTTCAATTGACCAACCCAATATTTTAAAGTCAATCTTCATTTGTGCAATTTAAATAATCTTTAGATCTTTAGGTTTAAATTGTTAAAAAGCTGGCTTTTCTTAATCCATAATGGCTTTAGAAATATTTAAACTATAAGAACCAACCATTCTAATGAGCGACAATTGTGCCTTGCTTAGCATAGCCTTAGTGGTTAAAACTATTTTATAAAAACTACCCTGAAACTTGAGTCATCGTATAATTTTCTCAAATCTTACTCATTGTTGGGATGAGGAGTCCAAAACGATAGTCATTCGAGCTCCTTTCTCAACACTCAGACAATAGATAGACTAGATACAAACAAGAGACGCAGACTTCCCTTCCCTTTCGATTCCCTTTCCCCAACATTGATCGCTCATCCCCCTTTCTAACTGACCCCTTTTTACCGCCCGAAAAGTGCATTCTTCTAAATATTTTTTTGTTTTTTTGTACGATTTCAAAGAACAAATAAATCTATTAATTTTTAATTCAGAAATGATGACGATTTCCGGTATTGGAATAATATTATTACTAGGTAAAACGTTTTAAAAGATTATTAATAGAAAGATTAACAATTTCAGCGTGTTTCTCTTTTACAAATGCGGCAGAGGGTGGGTCATCGATATCTGGAATGTGGGTGTCATGCTATGAGAAAATGGATGATTGCTTATCTAGGTATGTGAATGAAAAACATAACTTAAGAACAATTAAACTGTTATTTTCTTGTTATTTAAAGATTGCTTGTTATTTTTACCGTTAATTAACCGCTTGGTAAATAAGATTTTTGTTTAACCCTTTGAAAAGCTCTAGCTAGCTCTAGTAATTGTTCTGAGTTTTAAAAAATCTGAAAAACACTTGTATTGGGCTGGTGGAAAAGTCCTTTCCGATTTTTTTGGGAGAGTACCTTAAATTTGTCCAATTTTGACGTTTTATAGCTCATCCTAAAGCTGTTTGTGCAAACTTTGGCTGGAAAACTTTTTTTAAAAACAAAAAAAAAAAACGAGAAAAACGAAAGAAAATCGCGAAAAGCGGCGGAAAGGCTATTGATCTGAGGGTCGCTGGTTCGACTTCCACCGGTGACAATATTTTTCAAAAATTTTTTGCTAAGATTCTGAAAATGCGTGTCTAGGGGTTATTTTTGACGCTGATCACGAAACACATGTTTTTAGCCTAGATTTCTGCACGGAAAACTAACGAAACGTGAAAACAGCCATTTTTTGGCTCTACCGCCCTTTACTAAAATAGCTGTAAAAACTTTTAAAAAAGAGATATCTCAAAACGGTTTTTACCAATCGATCCGTCTTGAATTCAGCTTTAGGATGAGCTATAAAACGTCAAAATTGGACAAATTTAAGGTACTCTCCCAAAAAATCGGAAAGGACTTTTCCACCAACCCAATATTTTATCGATTTTTACTTTCAAAAAAAATTTGAATAGAGTTTTTCTTACGTTTAAGGCAAGTTTTCCTAGATACTTATGAAAACTTAGATGCGATTCTTTCTTCCGACAATGCTATGTCGCTGATCACTGCAATGATGGCACTCATCAACAAGCAGCTTGTGCTCCAAATGTCACATCGTGAGTTTAAATAAATATTGAAATTCAATAATGAAATCTTAAAAGATCTTGTATGAAGCAATGATTCCAAAAACGAAACTATTTCAGAATGGTGTTGCTAACGTTCGCGTTGATCGTCGGCTTGTTGACGTGTTGTTGTGTGGCGTGTTTCTGTGCACCGTGTTGCATCTGTTATCAAGTGTTGAAGAAAAGAAGAACAAGAGAACGAGATACACAATTGTTGGAGACAAATCTCACAACAACAAAGGTTAGTTGAGTGTTTGTTGAATAAATATTGTTTAATTGATATACTACTAGGGATTTAGAGTTACGAGGAAACGGTTTGAGCTCGTTCAGAATCGTTATGAAACTTTATAGACCTTATAGAATCGACGATGCTGATGAAAATGATCTAAAAAGCAGTATGCTCGATTCTATAAGGTCTATAAAGTTTCATAACGATTCTGAACTAAAGCTCAGACCGTTTCTTTGTTTGTAATAACGAAAACGTACCCTTTCTAGTTCTCTTATTGTTAATTTTCTTGTTAATTTAGTGTGAAATTAGCTTTTATTTTAAAAGAGGATATATTTCTCTATAAATAATATCAATATCAATCAATCCAATATCTAGGAAAGGTTTAAAAGCAAAAAAAAGTAAACGTAGCAGTGATTCGAGTCGATTATTCTGCATAAAATGTTTCCCAAAACATGAAAACTTTCAAAAATTACCGTAATCTTGTTTCTAGCTTTATCTATCTATCATACAAACGGTTTAATTCTGGAAAAGATGCCAAAAACTACAAAAAGTGATAGTTGGACAAAGGAAAAAGGATTACCCGTAGTATTTATCCAACTATCACTTTTTACGGTATTACTGGTTACGGTAGTTATGGTCGTTCACGGTTACTGTAGTTCACAGTTACTGTAGTTCACGGTTACGGTAGTTTACCGTTTCGGTAGTTTACCGTTTCGGTAGTTTACTGTTACGGCTTTCAGTTTTTAGGTTAGACAAGGCTACGGTAGTTTGTCAAAAGATAGCACAAAAGGAAACGGATTACTTTTAAAAAAAGCAGCAACTGATATCAAAATTACCTTTAGCGTTCCCAACTCGTGGAACTCGATCACGAGCCACACACATTTGGTAATAAAACATTCAATTTTTATACCCCATTAATTTATTAACCTTCTAGCCAAGAAACTTTCCGCTTATTCCTTCAAATCTGTCATCTAATATAGCTTTATTCTTTTTTTACAAAGCAAAAACAATTTTCTTTATCTTCAGGCTTCCGCGCCGCCCCAAATTTGAGATAAAATGTCTGCGAAATGATTGGAGACTCACAAAAACAAAATAAAAACAAGGATTTTTTTTTATTTTTCAAATGCTTGCCTGTTTTTTCTATGATTTTTTTTGAGATTTTGTTTATTTTCAGGAATTTTTGTACTTTATCACTTTATTGATTCCTTTTTTTTACCAAATTTCTTTGTGAAACGGGTCGGATTTGCTGTACTTTGTATTCAAAAAGCGGAAATTGCACACCAGATACAGATTCTTCTATCACAAGAGAAATAAAGAGTTCACTGTACCAGAAAGAGTGTGTTACAAAATTTTCGAGCAAAAAGTGCTTGCTCAAAGGAGTGCTTGATTGAAAATCTTTTTGAAAAACTTTCATCAAAGCAATAAATGATTTAATATCTTGAAGGAATAAGCAATTCAATCCTCATTTACATTCTAACTATCTATCAATTTGGGGGTAGGCTAGTTTCCGCAACTGGATCGTTTGCGCAACTCACCATAACTTTTTTCTAGGTGGCTCAATCTTTATGACTTTGGTTTCATTTTGTAGATCTCAATAAGTGCAACAAAATGAAACCAAGATCATGAAGATTGGCCTACTTAGAAGAAAGTTATGGCGAGTTGCGCAAATGACCCAGTTGCGCTTGCTCGCTCAAAGGAGTGCTTGATTGAAAATCTTTTTGAAAAACTTTCATCAAAGCAATAAATGATTTAATATCTTGAAGAAATAAGCAATTCAATCCTCATTTACATTCTAACTATTTATCAATTTGTAAAGTTTAATGTAAAAATAAAGAATAAACCTGGAAATGTTGTTTTTTGTAGAAACTATCTCAAAAAAGCAGCAAGTTATTCAGAAAGCGGATTATTTCCTGTTGACGTGTGAACAGGCAGCCACTCAACGAGTGATCTGAGGATTTGAGGATCTGAGGAAGATCGTCCTGATGTATCGAAACCATCAAATCAGCGCGATTCTTTCTAGTAAGCTGAAGGACGAGAGAACGAATTGCATTGAGAAACGATCATAAATATTTTATTATTTGGAAATTGTCATAAATTTATGAGAAAACAGAGCACCATGAAACACTGATTTCTTCCTTTTCAAGGCCTTTTCAGGCCATTTCCATTTGGTATTCCTTTTGTTTCGGATTTTCAACTTTTTGGAGAGTTCAACAAAAATGTAGAGTAAAGTTTACAAAGAAATTCCAGTTTGCTATATTTCTCCAGTTTTCTCTAGATCAATCGATTTCGATTCGATTCGATTCGACCAATTGGATGTGGAACCACTTCCAGTGGAGTCACACTTTTGGCTCCTTTATCGTGGCATGCGATTGTGCAAATTCATTTGGTTCGGCGGTAGCATCCACTCACAGGCCCCCGTCCCCGATATTCGCTTCTGAAATTCTTGCCCACTCTCGAGTTTCTGGATGAAATCGTTGTAGATGCTGGCAGTTTTGCTTGTCTTCAAGCTGTTGTGGGCACAGTGAAAGCCGCATTGACCTGGGCTTTCATCACTATCCACAGGATTCGAGGAATGCAATAGCCATGAATTTGAGCTACATAAACGGACTGTTCGAGACATAGTTGTCAAGCCGCAAGAAGATCGCTGGAGCTCTATTTGAAGGGTCTCCGTAAGACAATAATCAACGAGATCGATCTCCGTGCCATCTCTTTTGCCGGTTTGCTCAATCCGTGTTTTCCCCTTCGTGACTGGGGAATTACGAGCAAGAGGAGATTGTTTTGTGCGGTTACACTTTGAACTGCTATTTTACTCTTCGTTTTCTATAAATTCATATAGTTCTTCTTCTTTATTTATTTCCTAATTTTCCTTATAAGCATTCTGTTTGTCACTCAATACCAATGTTGTACTGTTTTCTCAATGTATAGTGTCATAAGCTGGAGTGCCAAAAGGCTTCGGAGAGGCCAACCAATTGGTGAATTATCACACTAACTGCTGTAGGGCCGAAAAGTTTGCACACACTCTCTGCTATACACTCTTTTGCTTTTGCTTTTACAAAATCACATTTCGTTCAGTTTAAGGCGCTTTTTAACGTTTTGAGACGCATTTGCTAAAGCCTTTATCCAAACTCTTGAACCTTACTGTAAATACTGGGATCTTGTATTGCCTCCTCGTCAAAGATAAACCTTCAAATTGTAGATATAGGGTTGTCTCATGTCGCCAGCATCACAAAAATCTCCGCTGAAATCCCAATCAGTCCCGTCAGACCGTTGGAGTTGGCGGTTGACCTGAAAACGTTAGGAAACTACTGTCCGGTGAAGACACTTCACCCACTCGGCCATTGTCCACCGGTCAAATAGGCTGAATCCGCTTGATAATCGTGGTGATCTCTGTGCAGTAAAGTGCTGAGGCTTCAAGATTTTCTTAACATTTAGTCTGGACTCCCCATTCTATCATCCATAGCTACAGGCATAAAGAGCTACAGGCAAGAAGATCCAATGATAATGTTATAGTTTTGAAGGTAGCTCGAAGTTCTCCAAGCTCCAGTTTTTTCTGACTTTTGACTGGGAAAAAGGAAAGGCATCTGTCCCTGTTTCAACGTGAGTGTAGAAACCTGAAGTTTCCAATGTTGGAATATTCAACAAATGAACATGATCCTTTGACTCGAATATTGTTTTAGGGGAGAGAGAATCGTTTAGAAGAATTTTGAAATTTCGCTAAGTAAGGAAACTTTCTATAACTGAAATCATCGAGGGACAGATTTTATATGCATGTAGTTTGTGAATTAAGAATTTAATATGGACAGAGTCGAAAGCTTTCGCAAAATCTAATAACACAGCTATGGTATGAAGAGAGCGAATGAATGTGTAAAGTGGATCCACTTTAAAGTGTACAGTTGAAAACTTTTAATGTTTCACACATTTCGTTTCCGTTCGATTTTTAATTTATAGATGAAGTATTATTATTGTATCTGAAAGGAGAAGTTGTCCCATATAAAAGCCCTCTGCAATGACTGGCAAATCAACGGATCCCCGGATTCATTCATTTCATCGTTCGACAATGAAATTCACTCTTCTGTGCGCTCTTTTTGCTGGTCAGTAGTTATCTTTTGTATTCAGATATTGACTATTGAGATAAAACGAGATCAAAACGAGTCTGGCACTCTTGACTGCAAGCATATGAAAGCTAAACTAACAGCAACTAGTCAATGCTTTCCAGGTATTTCGGCGGTTGTCCTGCCGGCTGCTGAGATCACTGGACTTGTTAATGTAAGAAGTCCTTTCAATCGAATTCCTTTTCAAATCCCTCTCCTTTAGGCCCACAATTCATTCCGTTCTCAGTTGGCCTTAGGAACGTATAAAGCAAAAGATGGGACACCATTTGCTTCAGCCACTAATATGCTGTTGATTGTGAGTGAATACGGAATAGAGAGATACAGGGAGAATACTCAGCTGCAATGTATTGTGTTCAGCAATGGAACTCGACTTTGGCGACAAGTGCCTCGAACTATGCGGCCACTTGTCCATTCCTGACTCATTCGAAGATAAGTGGAGTCGGCGAGAATCTCTACGTCGCGTCGAGCAGTGTTATCACGGGAATAGGTAGACACGAATGATCACTGAATCTCCTTCATAAGCAAGTCCTTTCAGGCGCTGATTCCAGCAATACGTGGGCTAATGAGTTCTACAATTTTGGACCGAAAGGCTATGTCTTCTGGTCTTCGGGCACTAACTCGACTGGACATGCTACACAGGTGAGAAGGTATTCATTGTATATCAAAGGTGACTCGTTCAGATGGCCTGGGCAACCACAGGGACCGTTGGTTGTGGATATGCGACTTGCTCGAATGGTCCGACTGGATTTACATCATACACAATTGTCGTCTGTCAATACTATCAACAGTGAGTGAACCTAACTGGATTTCAGCTCCATTTTTACAGAGGAAACTGGGGAGGACAACAGGCGTATGCCCAGGGAACCACATGCTCTCAATGTCCATCTGAGACGACATGTCAGACGAGCACTGGTCTCTGCGCAAGCGGAAGTGGAGCCACGACAACCCCATCCTCGGTCACCACAGTCAAAACGACTACAGCTCAAGGAGCCGGCACACCTTGTCAACAGTGTGCCCGCAACGTGGACACACTCAACGAGCAGTACTATCCTAATCTGGGAACGGTCTCTTTTGCCTACAGGTATACGATTTATGCTAGGTAGTTGTCGCAAAAAGATAAAGTTCTGGCAAACTTTTATCTGACTCTTGTGCAATTCGATGATCGATTCTCGATGGCGGAGTTTCTAGCCATCTATCTGAGGGCACAACCCCATATCCCATAGACCATCTATACTTTCCAGAACTGACCCAGCCAACGGCAATTGTTTGATCGCCGATTGGTACTGCAAAGTCGACGCTTCCTATCAAACGGTTGGTTTGATAAGAAGAAATATAGAAAGCAATACTCCAGAAAAACATAAGCTAGTACATTTGTATGATTATATCATTCCTTCCCTTCAAGGCCGGCTTCCAACTGTACACTGGCGGTCCAAGCTACATGACTCAAGTATTGGATTACAACAATATTGTCGGCATCACCTGTGTAAGTCATCAAAGGACTAGGAATTCTTAGAGTTATCAGGCGTCACTGTTTTAAGAAGAAGAATCTGTTTAATATTTTGAAAATCTACAGTTGGGCGCCAACGACACGACCGCTAACGGCAAATACAAGCCGTTTGTGTGCAACGGTGCATCTCAATGGAGCTTCAACGGAGTGGTCAGTGAAAAAATATGGGTTTCATTTTAACTTAGACTTACTCAAGGTTATTAAAGGTTGTTAGGGTGAGAATAAACGTCACATCAATATAATTGAAGCTGCTTTCAGAGTGATCTTGTCTTGGATTGCTTCGCCTACAACTAAAGATGCTTGTCTATTCATCTACTGTACATTGTATAAATATATTGTATTATCAACGGAAATAAATTGTGTCTCGAACAATTATCAGTTACATGAGAATAAGTTTATTACGCTACATAAACTTAACTTCTGGATTC